TGGCAATTAGAAGATAAATATCAAATAGTGCAACAAAAGTGGAATAAAAAACTTGAACAACTGATTAGGCATTTTTACACTTCAATAATCTCCGAGGCTAGGAGACAAATTAATTTAATTGCTTTTATTTGAAATAATTTAGAGCTTGTTCCAATCCTGGAGATAAAGTGCAAAGCAGTCCTCTCCTCTTGGGAATTCTGTTTTAACTAGATCGTCAATGACCACAAAATTAAAAAAGGACATAGTTTGGGTTAAACAGTCCTAGGTTAAACTATGTTCAGTATTAACCACAGGTACAAGACATGCATACAAGTCTCACACATACAAGCAGCAAACTACATAAACTCATAGTTGGCTAGTCTCACTTTCAATGTGTATATGTGAACTTACATTCTATTGAGAAGAAAAATGTGTGCATAGTAACCTGATTAGAGCCCTTTTCCAAAAATAATCCTCTATACCAGGCAGACAGGACACAGTAAAATAAGAGTAGAGCAACTTTGATTTCTCATTCCTAGTCTTGGATCCTGCCTCAATTTCCTGAAGGGTTGCTTAATCTTAAAACAGCCATTATTTTGGGTTAAGGCAAATAGCAGAGAAGCCCAAGTTATCCAGATTTAGATAAACTACATTATGAGTTTGCATCACTCCTATTTTGAATGGTGCAGTCATGTTATAGTTCTCGGGTCTCCAACTTTGGCAACTTTAAGACTTGTAGACTTTAACTCCCAAATGTCATGCTGGCTGAGGAATTCTGGGAGTTGAAATCCACGAGTCTTAAAGTTGCCAAGGTTGGAGAGCCCTCTTATACAGATAGTCCTCAAGTTACAACAGTTCATTTAGTGACCATTTGAAGTTAAAAACAGCACTGAAAAAAGTGATTTATGACCATTTTTCACACATGATCTTTGCAGCATCCCCATGCTTATGTGATCAAAATTCAGATGCTTGGCAAATGATTCACATTAATGATGGTTGTCATTAATGATGGTTGTCATGTGATCTCTTTTGCAACCTTCTGACAAGCAAAGTCAATGGGGAGTTCAGATTCACTTAACAACTCATTACTAAGAACAGCAATCAACAAATATGGCAAGAAATGTCATCAAATGGGGCAAAACTCACTTTAAAATGTTTTACTTAGCAACATAAATTTTGGTCTCGATTGTGGTTGTAATTTGGGAACTACCTGTCATTAATTCAAATCCAAACAACAATTTAATGACTCTCTGTTTGTTATATCAAAAAAAACAATGGTATTGAAAAAACTACATACAGAGAAAGGGGGGACATGGCAAAGGAGACTTTGCTTTTTAAAAAACTCTCTGTAGAACAGGAAAGGCTTAAGAACAGAATATTTAAATGCCACATTTAGGTAGCACAGCTCAAGAAAGCCAGAAGTATGTTTATGACACCTTAAGTATAGTTTTCCAAGATGATATTTTCCCAGCCCTTAAATCTGCCTCCCCTGTAGCCAAATTTAAACATTTTAGACATGTAAGTGTTCAACCAGAGCAGTGTAGTATCAGAAGAAGAGGCAAAGTTAAAAGGAAGAAGAGGTAAAGCCATGAAACTGTGCTTCCTGCTACATATATAGATGCATAGATGCTACATAGATGCACATATGGAATCTCCTTGTCTGAAAATTGTCAAACCTTTTCTTCCTCTGTGACTTGCTTGCATTTTTCCTCCGCTGGGTGAGCCGAATCAAAGCTGACCCAGTCTTCCAATCTAAACAATTAAAGACACATCAGATCAAAAAAAAAAAAAAGCAAACCGTCTATCCATCACTGTCCAGTGCTGAAACCCAGAAGCAGGAAAAGCAAAATGCAACAGCATTGTGGTGCCACCCAGTGTTGAATGTTCTGGTAAACATCTCCCTGGTGTCACCATCTGGATTTAGAATTTGACCTACAAAAACAACTTGATGACAGCAGCTTTGCAATCCTCATGGAAGAGTTTCCATCCATGAGACTGCAAGAAGGCTAGGAAAGGAAGGGAAAGAAGTCATCAACAAATGAGAGAAGCAAAGTCAGTTGACTGCTTGTTTTATAAACAGCAACTCAGCTTAGATGGTGAGCAAGCTAGGAAGATGGCCTGAATGAAATCACTATAAATGAGTTTGGGACATTTCTCTTGGAGGTTGTAAGATTCTATATCTACCCTAAAATTAGCATTCAAGATACTATCCTGAAGCAGGGGTGGGATTCAACCGATGTAACTATCGGTTCAGTGATTATGTTTTGTGTGTGCATGGACATGTGTATAAAACATCGTAAGCTGTGCTGCCTGGACAGCTGATAGGCACTGCGTATGGGTGCGCAGCGTTTGAAAAGCCACTTTTTAACTGCTTTTTCAACCTCAGCTGTGCCACACAAAGCAGCTGAGGTTGAAAAAGCAGGAAATAAAGGACAGGTAAGTGCCCGGGTGGGCAGGTGGGCCAAAACAGCAGCAGACACAGAACTGGTTCAGTGTCTGTTGCTCTTCAGAGCTACCGGTTCTATACAGCTGGGCAGAACCGGTAGCATCCCACCCATCCTGAAGGCTGTGTAAATTCTGGCTTTCTTAATCTTGGCTGGTGGGGTTGGGTTGATACCACCCTTTACCTCTAGATACATTCCAGATAGCAACTTTCTTTCACCCAGTGTGTCCTCTCCCTAAATTTGTTAAGGAGCAGCTTCCAGAATTCATTGGAAAAAATAATTTTGGCTGACTACTGAAGAAGTCTGCTGAATTGGGACAGTTAGTTGTGCTAAAGGTAGCAAAGGTGTTGACCATCAATCCTCTTATTGAGTTTTCCCAGCTTAGGCATGACATGTTAGGATGCTCTGGAACACCATCTCAAGAAGTCTACTGAGACAATAACTGTAACTTTTTAATTTTCAAAGCATACCTCTTTTCCGGAGCATTTCTGGATGCCCTGTCAGGAAGGCAATCAAAATTTGCATCTTCACTGCCAACAGATGCACTGTTTCTGTTTTTCTTAGCCCCATTTCGAAACATCTCAAGGGCACTTTTCAATTCTTCTTCATCCACTTTGAAGACATTCTTGTATAGAATTTCATAAAGGACAGCTAGGCAAATAAAGGGTTTGACCTTTATAAAAATTTTATAAGCTAGAACACACTTTTTAACACAATAATTTTTTGCCAATTGCTATTTATAGCTGTGAAATGTGGACTTTAAACAGGCAGATAGGAGAAAAGGGTGGACACCTTTGAACTGTGGTGCTGGAGGGCAACTATTATGCATCTCATGAGCTGAAAAAAATAACAAAGAAGGTCCTAGACTGAACCTTACCAAATTATCACTTAAAGCCAAGATTGCCAAACAGAGGCTGTCATACTTTGGTCATGTCTTGAGAGCTGACTCACTTGAAAAGCCAATCATGTTGCGAGTGATCAGTAGAAAAGGGAGAAGGGGCCAACCTAACACTCACTGGCTGGACATTATAAAGGATGACACTGAGATGACCATGGCAGATCTGAAGGAGGAAATATGCAAGATAGAGGGATGGAGGGTGCTGCTCCATAGAGTGACCAAGGGACGGACGCAACTAGATGACTGATAATGACAATATGCTTTTAAAAATAGGGGATTTCTGGGATATTCTTAGCAAACATCTTACACAGGATAGATTTATTATTATGCTACTTAAAACAGAGTGGTAGGATAGAAAAGGCAATGTTTTATTTACCCTGGCAGATTGCAGCGTTGGCTTGAAATTGTTTGGTGTACACAGAATCATAATGACCATTACTAGAACAGCACAGTAGAATCTGAAAGGCAAAAATCTTACCTTAAAAATAATTCTGGGAATATGAAAACATGTGTTGTTTTGATCACCATACAGAACAGTATGGTGATAGAAGTTAAATGTCATTTGTAGATTAAATGCAAAAATGATTTACGTTCAAATAAAAAGGTGCTTTTAAAATTATGTCTATGCATAAAAGAAAAACAATGCATGATAGCTCTTATATTATTTATGAAGCACATTTTGCAAACACTTATTTTGTGTCATAAATTGATTTGTATGATTGTGAACATATTCAGTTATATATCACAAGAGCTGTCCAATTAAATCAGGACACCATTAATCTGCTAAATAAATGCCCTACTTTAGTTATTTGGATATGATGAAGGTGTGGTATTAAGGGGAATAGCATATTTTTTAATATTCATACACCTTAGAAGAAGACTAAAATAGCCTATAGAATTCTATTTTTACTATACTGTTCTTGTATCACAGATGCAAATAAAAATTAAAGGGATGGTATATACTTTACATTTTCACTATAATTGTGAAAATATGAATCATATAAAGCTTTTATACAGAAGGCAGAAGGCAGGGCAATGCACAAAGTCACATGGTTTGTGGAAAAATTAATACTTTCTTCTGGTGGTTCTAGATCAGAAAACTTAAAAAAACACTGGCTGCAAATTTTTTCTAGCTACTATTATATTAGTAACAGTTAACCAATTCATTTTATCAAGTTCTTATGCATCATTATATGGGTAAAATAAAAATAAACTACAGTAAAAGTGTTGGACTAAAATTCAAAAAAACCTCATTCCAAATGTTGCTTGGCCAATTTCTGTTCTCATCAATCTTCCCATGATACATAAACTGTGGCCACTCTTTCCTCTCAAAATTATACCTGCAAGCACACAATGCACACTAAGGCTATCAAAGAGAATGTGTGGGGTTTTTTTCTGGATTGTTTATCGCAAAAAAGTTCCTGAAATGTCTCACTTCAAGTATGTTTCAAGCATTTCAGGAGTTGGAAATTAATAAAAAGTTTTATATTCGCTGAAGTGATTTTGTACTTGAGGAAGCTAGAAACAACAGGTTTGCATATCATCTAATGCATAGAGTGGTACCTTCAATTTTTTCCTTATAGGTCAAGTTCGCTTACCTTATCCTCAAAGCCGTTGTCAGTAGCGTAAGAAGCAGGTTTTCCAGGGTGCCGATAAAGAATGAAGTCTCGGCTAGATAATTGCAAAGATAAGAGACAGGAAAAAAATAAGTTGTCCCAATTGTTTTTTTCAAGAGGCAACTGGACTTTGTTTTTCTTCGAAGACGTTTCGCTTCTCATCCAATGGATGAGAAGTTCATAACTGTAGCAGCTTCTTGAATGAGAAGCAAAACGTCTTCAAAGAAAAACCAGAAAGTTCAGTTGCCTCTTGAAAAAACACCTTTGGGACAACCATGACATGGATGACTCAGAAGCTCCATAGACAAAAAAATAAATCATCTTTCTTCGAAGCGTATGATACACTGGTACACCACAGGGTTGCATGTTGAGTTACTCTTACTTTTTATGTGCATGACTGCATTCCCACTCACACTAGTAATACTATTACTAAATTTTCAGATGATACAACAGTGGTGGGATTCATCTCCAGGGGGGATGCCTACCGAGATGAGGTAGATGGTTGCTTTTGTGGTATGGAGAGAGTAACTTGGTCCTCAACACCAATAAGACCAAGGAGCTTATAGTGGACTATAGAAGGAACAGATCAGACATCCAGCCCTTGCTTATCAATGGAGACTGAATGGAGCAAGTGGGAGAGGGCCCAAAGAGCCACATGCGGCTCTGGAGCCACACGTTGCCAACCCCCATCATACATGAAGCTGTTCTACTACACTTTCTATCAACTCAGTATTTTTTTCCTTTGGTCTTCATTCTTACTGTAATAAAATGTCTCAGCAGTTTTAATTTGATAGCTAAATGCCTACAAAAGCCTTGGAAACTGCTTCTATTAGTTAGCCTTTAATTTATAATTTTAGATAACAGGTTTTATGGTATTTCTATGGTACTTGACTGTACTCTGTCTTGAAAAAGCTTATTTAAAAGGCAGCATGTAAATCACAAACGATCAAGGAAAATGGAGTTATGCTGCTTTTAAGATAGACCCAATAAATTCCTGCTAAAGCCAACTGTTTAGTAATTGCCAAATAGATTTATGTCCTATTCCAACAAAGATTCAGATCATTTTTATAACTGCTAAGAGCTGTAAATGGTGGAAACTCTTTAATGTCTATGAAGGAATAAATGATGAATACTTTCTTTGGTTACTTGTGCTTCTATTAAGTTACAGGATGTATAATTTAAATAATATGAAGAGATCATGTTCTGACATTATAATATAGTACTTACTTATAGATCAATGAGAAGGCACTGATCTCAAGTTGTCCAGCACTTTCCTGTTTAACAGAAGAAAAATGAAGTGACTACTTCGCAATATAACAATTTTTTTGGTGACTCCAACATAAGTCCTCATTTACTGCTCAATCTAGTTAATAACACAAGCATTAATGTTCATATTAGATTGCCATAACACATTCCACACAGAGGGCTCCTTAAAAATTCAAAAACAGTGATTCCCAAACCAAGCAGCTACATGATTAAATCAAATTAGACCAGGAGGTTTTCAAACCTAGCAACTTTAAGACTTATGGACTTCAATTCCTAGAATTTCCCAGCCAGCCATGCTAGCTAAGGAATTCTGGGAGTTGAAGTCCATAAGTATTAAAGTTGCCAAGCTTGGACACCCCTGAATTAGACTATCCAACATTGGTTACATTGGAAATAGTCCTCAACTTATGACCATTTGTTTAGTGAATATTCAAAGTTATTACCAGTACTGAAAAAAGTTACCTACAACCAATCTTCACACAACTGTTGCAGTGTACCTACAGTTACCTGATCAAAATTACAGTATTTTTCAATCACATATCCCAAAACAACCTGGAGCAAATAGGGCAGGATATCAGCATTTTCATAAAGTAAATTGAAATATATATTTTCTTAAAGGAGCAAAAGTCACACAGAAATGCAAAAGAAATAGGTGCATTATAGCATCAATGTATTAATTTTATAACTCAAGTGAAATACAGTAGTAAAATTGATGTCAACTTCCATATTTTTACAAAAAAAGATAACTTCAACATGTTTGGTGGAAAAAGAGAGATCTACATTTCACTTTTGAAGTTACTATTACTATTTTCCAAGACTAAAATCTGCAAAAAAATTTCTCCAGATAAGACCCTTGCTTGTATCTGACAACACATATGTATGTACATATATCATTAACTAATAAAGAAAATATAACCCATCTGGATTGGGAAAAAATGATCTCTAGCCTAAACAAAGCCAATTTGAATTTAAAGGAAAAAAAGTAAAGGAAAATCCTAACATACAGACAGTTCTCAATTTCTGTTGCTAAGCAAGACAGTTGTTAAGTGAGTTTTGCCCCATTTTGAAACCTTTCTTGTCACAGTTGTTAAGCAAAACACTGCAGTTGATAAGCAAATTGTGGGATTGTTAAGCAAATTTGGCCCCACCATTTTCTTTGTTTGTCGGAAGCCAGCTGGAAAGTTACAAAAGGTGATCACATGATCCTGGGACCATCATAAATATATGCCAGTTAGCAAGCACCTGACTTTTGATCCCTGACCATGGGGATGCTATACAATCATTTCATGTGAAAAACCAGTCATGAGCCACTCTTTTCAGAGCCATTGTAACTTTGAATGGCCACTAAACAAATGGTTGTAAGTTGAGGACTATTTGTACAACTTTGTATTTTACACTTCTTTAAACTTTCAGGGGCTTCTGTTTAGCTGTTCTGATGAGCTACAGCATATTTGCCAAATCTTTCTTACCTTGGGATTTCCAAGTCGTTGCAAGTATTTTTCAAAGGAGCCTTCCACATACTTGATTTGAAAAGGGAGAAAGGGGATGCAATTAATGATTTTGCTTTTATCCAATATCCTAAATTCTGAGTAAAACATTCAACTCATGTTTAGACCACCAATTGGTGAAAGCCACAACTTTGCACCCATGTTAGAAGCTCTAAGAACTTCCAGGTTGAAATAATTAATTGGTGATATCACTGCCACCTTGGGACACCCAGTCGGGTTTTCTTTCATATCCTTAGCAGGAGCTGGAGTGAAAGACAAGAGCTCAACCCTGCCCCAGGATAGCTCTCTGGTTTCAAAGATGGGCTTCCTAACCTCCTACCCAGCATCCCAACCAGTCGAGCCACTGCGCTCCAAAGCCACCATTGAGTCACACTTATACAGGCTTACAGCAACCATTAACTGAACAAAACTTGTGCCTGTGTCCTATGTATGATTGCATGTTGAAACATCCCAGTAAATACATTATCAGATGTTGCAACATAGAAGAAAGTACTAAATAAAGTGGGAGAAGAACTGAGCTGATTTATAATGGAAAAATATCAGGAGCCTTTAACACCCTTTCCAGGTAACATAAGTTTTTGCAAGGTACAACTCCCTTCATCAAATAGACAGTGGCTAACTATTTTCTGCAGCTGATAAAGGGAGCTACAGCTCACAAAAACTTGTGCCTTTTAATAACATTTGGAAAGATGCTACAGACTTCCGATTTTTGCCACCAAAGACTGACACAACTCAATAAATCAAAGTGGCTTGATTTGGACATCTGACACAATAAAGTATGTATATACATATATCTGCAAATGGGTTTAAAGGTGTTTTAGTCATACTAAAATGCAAACCCACTCCCCTCCAACACTCATATTATCTAGTTTGGTAGTGAAAAGTCTGCAAGAAAACCACCAAGCTCAGAAAGCAGCCAGAGATCTTACATTCTGAAATGATTTGGCATAATTTTTAATGAAACTTCAATACTACCTGACACTTAACTCTGAGCAGCTAAGAAAATTACTATATAACAAAAATTAGAATTCAATTCCCCACTTAAATATATTTCAAAATCAAACATGTATAAATTAAATGTATATATGATTGGAGAGGTTTATATACATACTTTAAAACATACTTCAAAAACAAATATACTCACAGACTCAAAATTTATCTGATTTTTCCTCATGAAGGAAACGCAAGCATTTCTGACTGCCATGTGATGAATCTGACAAGCATAAACCTAAAACCATTGATATATCAATTAAAATTTAGGGCAGAATGAACCAACTACAGTTTCATGAAGTGGAATAGAGCTATGTGCAAATTACATCTGTTTTGAAGCATCAGTTATTAATGCTTGCTAAAATATTCAAAGATTAAAACAATGTTAAGGAAATCCTTCAACTTAACTTTGGAATGTAATTAATGTGCTTCCTTGTCTTAAGAGCTTGCAAATAGAAGCACAAATAAAGCATGATCCTTTGATTTGATACTAAATTCAAGGATCAAAAAACATACACACTTACCAAGTTTAGCCTTAATCTTTCTTTGGTGAGATCCTGAAACAGTTTAGATCTTGTACAGAGTACATTTGTTCAATAAATGGTATTTGGGTCACTTCTAGCCAAAATAGGCAGATGCATTGTTATTTCAAATTAGCTAGATAAGGGGTCAAGCATTATGCATACTCCATAAATGGTTACATTAGAGCAGTGTTTCCCAATCTTAGCCATTTTAAGAGGTGTGGTCTTCTACTCTCAGTATACCCAAGCCAGCAGTAGGTATTTCTGGGAGTTGCCCATATCTCTTAAAATGGCTAAGGTTGCAAAACATTGCATTAGAGCAGGGGTGTCCAACCTTGGCAACTTTAAGACTTGTGGACTTCAACTCCCAGAATTGCGAAGCTGGCTGAGGAATTCTGGGAGTTGAAGTCCACAAGTCTTAAAGTTGCCAAGGTTGGACACCCCTGCATTAGAGCATTCATAATTATTCCCAGAGACCCATTACATCTCAAAGTAGTCCATGGAACTCGGATGGAAAAGAGGCTACAAGCCCTTAGCTACTCAAACAGGTTGCTCCAGTTTTTTAAGTGTTGAATGTTTGTTTATAAATGTTACATTCCCTTGCAGTCCAGGCAAAACCCAGCAAGCACACCATACTTTTCCATAGCTCAGATCCGAAATACAAACAATAACCCATAATATTACAAACTCTGCCAGCCTGATTAACTTATCATTTGCTCAACTGCAGCAAAATAACAAGTGTGAAATGTGCTACATTTGGCACTAGTCTTTCCTAATTTGAGAGTTTTAGGCCCAACAAATCAATTTGGGTGCTAGGTCAAGAAAAATGCAGCACACCAACTTCACCATTTCTTAATGCTTTGTGTGTGTTCACACTGCTAAACCCCATTTTAATCATGGCAGATTGGTAAGCCACTATGTATCATTTAACTAGGACTACAAACGAAGGTAGTTGGCTTCACAAAAGACAGGAAGTCAAACCCAACCCAAGTCTGAATATAACCCATTGTAGGAACCAAACTTTTTAAAAAGTTGCTTATAAGTTAGCAGGACCATTTCACCAGGCTGCGTTAAATTCATACTTTACAGTATACTTCTATCTGGGCCAACCAATTCATTTACTATAATTTGTCCTGGGATATTTTTTTCTCTTTAAAGGGCAACCGGTAAATCCTTTCAAGGAGGGAAAGGTGCATTCAACCATTTTTACAAAGCAGAAACAAAACTCGAGGCTTTAACTTAAAGAGGTCGGCGGTGAAAGGAGGTCTGACTCGTTAGGTTTCATCTGCTTGGCCGCTGCTCCGCTTGGATAGAGACTCCCCAAACCCAAAATTAACGAGGAGGGGCCGGTCTCTGCTCGCGGGTGTTTCGCGTACCCACGGTTTACCAAGTCGCGGTTTCCCCCCACTTCACCCCAAAAGCCGGAGCACAGCCCCGCCAAGAGCCGGGGGGCGTCATTCCCAGGGCCAGCCCGGGCTTTACCTGCTCGGAAATGGCCCGGAAGAGGCAAGTGGCGTCTTTGGCCGTGAGCTTGCGGTAGAGCCCCTGACTACCCAGGTACTCATCCATGGTCACCTCGCTGAGGGACTTCTGGCCAAAGTACTTCTTCCAGCCCTTCTGCATGGCCAAGGTAGGGGAGAAGCGGGCAGGCAGGCAGGCAGGCAGGCAGGCGAGGCTGCGGTGAGCACAACCCCAGGAAAAGGCGCTGGGACGGGGACCAGGCGAGGATCCCCAAGCGGGCAAAGGGTGCGGGGAAGCAACGCGCAAGAGTAGGGTCGAGCGCGGCCGGGGAGGAGGGTGTGGCTCTGGCCGGCCCTTTCAAGGCGAGCGCGGGGTGGGAGGCGGCGGCCGGAAGGGCTCTCAGCTGCCGGCAATCTGGCCCGGGCCAAGCGCGCGCCTGCCCGCCCGGCGCACGTGGGAAGCCGGCAGCCCGCGCTTAGTTTGTCCACGAGGCGCTTCGGAGTGGCTGAGATCCTGTTTCGTGGGGCTGAGGTTCTGGATGGTGAAGGAAACCCCGCGTGGCCTTGACCTGTAGGGTCCCTTATTTGGGAGCACTCTATGGACCAGTCTGCTTGACAGGCCAATTGGAGGCCTTGGCAGGGATGGAAATGTCTCCTGCTTCGAGCAGAGGGTTGGACTAGAAGACCTCTGAAGTCCCTTCCAGTCCTAAGATTTTATATTCTATGATTAGTGAATTAACTTAAGTCTATTGTATGGGGGCAGTTGGGTTAATGGAGGCTCCAGGTGTTGCACATAGACACAACCACTGATCTAGCAGCTGTGTTCCCACGATGCATTTATCTGTGATTAACTGGGAACGGCTTAGACAGTTACCAGATGTCTCCTTGGATTGGAGATTACATGCAAACCGGGGTCCTGTAAAATAACCCATGGGCTTGTTTTAAACAGTGCATGCTACATTAAAGTAAAAGTGGTTGTAATCTTTTCATAGACAGTAATGGTTCGAACAGTTCATCTTACTGTGATTTATCATAATCCGGACAGCTGTTTGACAACACACTGGGTAAACCTATCTGCTCCATGTGGTAATACTCCATGTGAGCTTCAAAGTTGCTTTCTCTACATGGTGTCCCACGGCAACTTGGACCCAGGTTCCAGTAATTGGTGAGTGACTCATGCTTGATCTTAGCCCAAAGGATGAGAAACTGGCTATTCCTTAGAGTTAAAAATCAGAGTCTATGGAAATTTTCAGTCATCCAGGTCATGGTTGTCCAAAGGTGCTTTTTCAAGAAGCAACTGGACTTTCTTTTCTTTGAAGACATTCTCATCCAAGAAGCTTCTTCAGCTCTGACTGGATAGTGGGGAATGGAAGGATTTATATTCCTTGCTGGTCTGCCATGCTGAGGTTACCGTGAAAAAAGTTTCTTTGAACAAAATCCAGCAGCTTGCAGTCGGTTTGAACTTAGGGAAAGTTGAGGCAAGAGATTTACCCTAGCCATAATTACCTGCGAGAGTCCCAGAAATGTAAGGAAGAAGGAATGGCTGAATAAAACTGGAGAAAAGGACACAACATAAGGAATTGGGGAATGGAGTGATTCTACTGCTGGTTGTTCCACCATGGGGCCCCAATGATCTTTAAGTGCAGGCAATTAAAAGAGGTTCTCCATCTCTGAGAGGGAGCAAACATGATTTCAAATCTGACCAATAGTCCAACCAACTTACCAAGCAAAATGACTGGCTCAGAAACTCTTATATATTTAGATCCAACCACAGTGTGGGGCTAATGGTTTCCATGAAAAAAAGATCCAAATCAAATTGTGAAAATGTGAACAAACTGAAGAATCACACACACATTTAACAAGAGAAGGCTTTATAGATTGCACAGAATTTATTTATTTTTATGCATAATGATGTCAGGATCTAGACATTTAAATAGCATGGGAGTCTTGGCTATTCATATTAAATTGATACATTTATAAAAGAAACATTAAATTGATCGTTATGGTTTACTGAATAAGCCATGATTGCCTAATTCAAAAATTGTATGTTTTGTTCATATACTGTAGGAAATCATCCTGCTTAATCATGGTTTCTTGAATGAGACTGGGTTTGCATAACATAAATATCATAACAGATTGGTTTTGGCACTTTGTCCACTTTGTCAACCAAGACAAGGGCTTCTTTGCCTTATATGACAGGCAAGGCACTGTATTTTTCAGACTATAAGATGCACCTTGGTTTAGAAAAAGAAAACAAGAAAAAAAACCATGTTTTGCCTCCGTGGGTCCCGTTTTTGCCTTCCCCAGCGTCAAGGAGGCCGAAGACGGGACCCACTGAGGCCTCTGGAGCATGTTTTTGGCCTGCAGAGTGCTTCTGGACACTGGAAAGACCAAAAATGGGATGTGTTGAGGCTTTGGAAGGCCAAAAATGGGTCCATATTCACTCTACAAGACGCACTGACATTTCCACCCACTTTTTTGGGGGGGAAGTGCATCTTATAGTCCAAAAATACGGTATATTCTCATCTCCATTTGAGGTTTACAAGATGCGGTATGAAAACATCAGATGGTTTTACATAAAAACTGACCCTTGTTGAATGAAAGCTTATATTCTTAATTTCATTGGAGGTGACAAATACTATTGTAAACTTGCATCGATCTTATGCCAGTTTCAGTTAAGGCAGCTCTCTTATTATAACCCACATAGTTAACTGCTGATCACGCTGTCCAAGAATGCAGCAAATTTTTCTGGTTGTCCAGGAAGAAATGGTTTCAGAGTAGACAAGTCCATTGATTTAAGCATCTCCACAAGAGTCCTATGAAAAAGAAAAAAATCATCATAACCCATCAAAATTACCATGAAATACTTGTTTTTCTCACATCTGTTTCTTGGTTTTCCTATAGTCTTGAACTATGTGGTCAACTTGAAACTGTAAAAGGTCACACTAACTATAGAAAGAAATCTCAGGTCTCCAGGAACTCAGCCCCACAGAACCAAAATTTCACAGGCTCACTGTGAAAAGATTTATTGTAGAAAAGAAAAGTCATATAGTATATACAAGAAAGCCAGGACCAATCTCTTCATGAATTACCTTCTACAATTCAATTTCCAGGCCTTTTCTCCTTGTTTTTCAAGCCATTGCACTTTTGGCTTACTTATTGCAGTCTTGAAAGCCAAATGCTCTTGCTCCATGTTTATACTGTATATAAGCTCTGCTTCAGAATCCTTGGTTCCTGCCTCATCAGCTTCAACAGAAATAGTACTTTATACCATGTCTCCACATGCAGACATCTGATTCATCAAAATTTTCCATTCGTAAACAGAGTCTAGCATAGAAGACTGTTCCTTATGCATTTCAGAATTATTTTAAAGCAATGAATGTGATCCCCTTTTGCAATCTTCTGACAAGCAAAGTCAATGGGGAATCCAGATTCATGTAACATCCAGGTACTAACTTATCAACTGCAGTGATTCACTTAACTGTGGCAAGAAAAGTCATAAAATGGGGCAAAATTCACTGAACAAATATCTCACTTAACAGCAGAAACTTTGGCTCCATTGTAGTCGTAAGCCAAGGACTACCTATATTGCAGGCAAACTCTGCCCACATCCTGAGTTTGTTCCTGATAGAGCTCAAGATTGACTCAGCTTTCCATCCTTCCAAGGTTGGTAAAATGAGGACCCAGATTGTTGGGGGCAACATGCTGGCTCTATAAACCGCTTAGAGGGGTCTGTAAAGTGCTGTGGGGTGGTATATAAACGTAAGTTCTACTTCTCTTCTTTCAACTATCTCTGTTTGTTTCAACTAGCTTGATTTCTATTTATATGGCTGTTGATACCTGCACCCTGCTATTACACTGCTCATTTCCCATTAGACGTATCTGTTCATTCTGAGATCAGCACCATTCCTGCATTTTTGTTAACAATGTCAGCATTAACCTGTGCCACAGCTTCAACCAGAGCATGGCATACATCTATCTCTAAAATCAAAGTGTGGGCAAGCCTATATATTTTATAAATAACAAATTAATTCAGGCTAGATAGAAGACACATTGTAAAGATAACTTGTTTTTATTATAGATAAAAGACCTCAACCTGCAACCACTCCTTTAGTGACTGTTCAGAGTTACACTGAAAACAGTGATTTACTTATGAGCGTTTCAGCATCCCCATGGTCACATGATCGAAATTCAGGTGCTTGGCAATCAGCATCTGTTTACTATGCTTGCAATGTCCTGCATTCATGTGACTGAAATTTGAAGTTTTCCCAGTAAGCTTCCAACAAGCAAAGCCAATGGGAAAGCTGGATTCGCTTAATTGCATGATTCACTTAACAACTGTGGCAAAAAAAGTCACAGAATTGGGCACAACTTACTTAACAACTGCCTTGGCTAGTAATGGAAATTCTGATCCATAAGTCAAGGACTACTTATACAATGAAGCTCTGATAAATTTCTCAGTTACTGTAGAAATTACAAATCAAACCATCTATATGTAACAGCCCCAAGGTTTAACCCAAATCTCTATTTCTTCCACCCTTTATGTCAGGGCTGTCAAACTCCTGGCCTGTGGCCCGGATGTGTCAGACGCTGTCCACACCTCGTTTAGTGAAGGGGAAAAAAGTCCGAATACATCATGTGACGCCGCTATGACGGCATGAGTTTGACACCCCTGCTTTATGTGATAACAAATTTCTTGCTCGTTTCTCTGATTTGGGTGTCGAGCCTGCTTACCACATGCTTTGATAAAGATATAATTAGTCCCAGACTTTTTACTTTCAACTTTGCCACCTTCAGCCCTCACACAATGGCACAGAGGACTTGGCATTGCTTCAAAATAAATTGGCTGTTAGGTTGAAAGAAATCATCTGGATCTCTTTGAAACTTTCCTTTCCAGCCATTTCCTTCTAGCAGTTCAAAAAACAGAAGACGAGATCTTCATGAAATCATTTGTGTAATGATGCGCAAGCAGAACATTCATTCCAAATGAATAAGATGTGTCCACAAGAGGGCAGACATCAAAGAAAGTCCAGAAAATGGTCCCTGGGGGTACCATGGACAGCTCCCAGCTAACAGACAAAGGACTACAAAAAGTTGCCAAATCTTGACTCAGCACTTACAGCAGGGATCCCCAACCTTTTCGACGCCGCGGCCCGGTTCCGGCGTCAGCTGGGCGCCGCGGCCCGGTTCC